AGTCGAATGCCTTGAGAAAAAAGCTGACAATGGCGATTTTTTATTCGCACGATGAAATCAGAAAAGATCGTATAAGCTTCTGTATTGCTCTGGTACAGTTTCCACTCTCTTTCCATTTAAATTCTTGCACACGTCAAACCACTATATGTACATGGCCGGTAATAATGAAACAAACTACACGCATATTACCAAAGTAGAAATTTTGCTTAAAGAAATTTTCAAAATGATTCAAACAACGCCCAAGCATTGAAAAATATCCGACACTCAGACGCAAAGCGACACTAAATAAATTCTCAATTGCTTTGTAAGCAAACAAGAGAACATCATTTTAAGGTGTCGCCGACGGAATAACTGTCATGACGCGCCTGACGCTTAACATAATCTGCATGTTTTATGCCACTTACGTGCATGTTTTTTATCTGGGCAAATGCCAGCATTTTCGCACGCCATAAATTTTTGGCAAGTCAAAAAAATTTTTACTTTTTTTTAACGCAAATAAGAACTTGTTTTTCCTTACAAAATGTTGCTTTAAAGCACCCAGCGAACATTTACAAACCTTTATGCCATATTTACGTGACATTTTCGCTGCGCTTCAGCAACTGTCACATAAATTGCATATTTTATATGCCACACTGACAGTTGCACCTTCCACTAAATGCGGTGCGTTGCACAATTAACCCGTCCGTAAGCAGGCGGTGGCGACTGCGGCGGTGGCGGCAATGTGTATGAAAAGTATTTTTATGCGCTATTTTGTACAACTTTGTGTGAAAAGTGTTTCTCGAAAATCATCTTCAGCTGGACTTGTAGAAGCAAATTACAAGTAGAGTGATTTGGCAAAAAAACAAAAAAACAACAAAAATCAGGAAAAATTGCAGTAATTTGCGTGTTGCGGATGCGACTAAAAGTTGGCGCTTCTTACAACCACTCACACTTATCATGCAGCCTTCATAATTTACTAATAAAATTTGCATTTTTATTAACATTCCATCTAGCAGCAGCAAAAGCATGCGTGCTAAATATGAAAGAAAGAATGCAAGCAAAAAAAAATCGGCAGTAAACAAAAAAAAGTGTTGTGTTGCCCATAATACAACGCCTCTGTGCGGTGCACTTTTACCCACTGTGCAGTGCTTTGTCGCCATTAAATGACGCGTAATTGAGCATACAACTTTTTTTTTTATAGATTTTTAGAATGCTCTCAAAAGAGCTGCTCTTACTTCGTTGGCATGTATGTTGTGGTAATGGCCTGCTCGAGACTGGCGTATTGTTTTGCAGCACAATTTTCAACTCAATTTGCATAAAACAATTTAGTGCCCTTGTCGTGAGTCCTCGCGGGCACAAACAATACATGAACACGCAAAATTGATATGTGAACTTTTATGCCCACAGACGCCTGGTTGGCTGTGGTGGCTATCGTTTCAGCGTGATGACCAAACCAGCTGCCCACCGCCCGCCTTCAGTTCGAACGCTTTCACATCAAGTTGCCTCAACATTGCCACGATATGTATTTGGTTTGTGGCTTAATTTTTGCAGCCCATTTTATTGTAATTTATGCACAAGCAGTAAGCGGAAATTGCAAAAAAAAAAACAAAATGTAGAAAAAGTCACAGATTAGCTCAGAGCATCAAGCAGCAGCAGCAGCAACAACACACCTGCCTGCCTGCCTGCTGCACCCAAATGGCCCATTAATGTCTCCTCTTGCTGCAACACAGGCAGGAACTCTCTGCCCAACTCCTCGGCCTGCTTTTTCTCTCATTCTGTGTCTTCTTCTCCACCACCCCCCCCAAACCACCAAACCCCTCTTTGTTCCCCTACTTTATAGCCTTTTGATTTTGCGATCCTGCATTTGTTCTTTACATACTCGTACATCAACTTCTGTCCTCTCTTCTGCTGTTCCCATTTTTTCGCAATATTTTATGCTGCACATCAATCATTTACGGTCAGCTTTTTACATTTGTAATTTGTAATGCAGCAAAAAATTTAAATTAATTGATTGCCCTTCGGTCAGAAATTAAAAATGAAAGCAAAAAATTAAATTGATTTACAAATATGTATGTACATAAAGAAAAAAACGCTCATCTCACATCTCAGCTGCCACCAAAATTGCTTGAAAAATTACGCTTCATTCACGGGATGCGCGAATTTTTTACAACATTTGTATGCGGCAACGTGCATTGCCACGCAAATTGTTGCAAGCACTTGTACGCGTCGCCTCGTTGTGTAAACAAATTTCGATTAAATTGGCGGCGATCATTAAATTGGTTATCATTCCGCGTATGTATGTATTTATAGTATATATGCACATATGTAAAGAAATATTTTTTTCCTTTCACATATCTACCAGCGAACTTCATTTCAGTCCATATTTGCCTCTGGCAATGACATATTTCATTGCCAAATTTTTATAGCCATTCAGTTATTAAAGTTTTAATGGAAGAAAATTGATTTGGGAGAATTCACTGCGACAACTAAAAAATGTGTTTTATACCTGAGATTAAGTTCCAGCTGATGATGCATTTTCAACATATCGCCAGAGTCTTAAAAAAAAAAATTCAAAGATTGTTGAGTCTGCTCGTAGTTTTTTCATGATTTAATATTAGGCGCGCAACGGTTTTCTATATTTTACCAAACAAAAAAGGCCAAAGATGTTAATATTTGGTTTTCACATTTTTTTTTTAATGGAAAGTGAGGGTCTTGCCTTAAAATGTTAATGTTTTCTTAAATAGACTACACACACACTCCTTAAAAATAAAAATCGGTTCTCCTTCCCCAATAAAATATGTAACCAATTTTATAACTTCCACCAAAATATTATGAAATAAATTTTTAAAGCAAAAATTCTTCTCCAGAAATTGGTTTTATAAGCGTTGGCAAGAGTTTGGACCAAAACGGCAACGCTGAATGGAAGTAGCCTGTTTTAAGGGCAAACGCTTTTTATCCAACTGTGTTTGCAACAACGCGCAAAACAGTAAGCACAAATTTTCAGTTTTTTCAAAATGAATACATTTATTTTTTCCACTCTTAATTCTCTCGTAAAGTAGTGCGGACTATGTTTCATGGTGCCTTACTAGCTGGTTAGAATCATATATCTGTAATTTCTTTTAAATTAAAAAATTTTGAAAGTTGGCATACGGATTGATGTAAATCGACAAAAAAAATCTGTTCTAAGTAGCTTGTCAATAGTTCTAAGAGTTCTTGAAAAGGAAAAAAAGGTCTGCAAAATTACGCCGATTTTTATTTTTTTTTAAGGCGAAATAGTTTAGTGATTGAAAAAATAAAAATTAGTTCTGTTCTCAGCAGCTTTTCAATAGTTCTAGAGTTGCTGAAAAGGACAAAAACGGGTTGGGTGTATGATTTATTTTGCAAAAAATCATCAGTAAGTCAAACTTCAAACTTGCACTTTATTGTACCAAAAATTTAATGTGCTACAGAACTGCAAACTCAAGAAATTTCTAACAAATCTGATTAAAAAGTTTGAAATTTTGATAAACATTTGTTAAAATTCCTCGTAGTTTTATAAATGTTCTACAAATTTTTAATTTTGATTTACATGTTTTTCTTTTAGATAGTAAGCTATATTTTCATAAAAAAAATAATAAACATTTTTAAACAAAGCAAATTATACATATACAAATACATATCGCTAGCTTAGAGTGTAAAGTTGCTAAGCCAATTTTTTTAAATTGAACAGTTCCTCAACTTCTTGTAGCCATTTTCTTCAAGTATTTTGCAATTCTTTGAATACAATATTTTGCCGGTTTAAAGCAAAGCAAAATTCCATACGAATAAGAAGGATTCGATCTCTATTAAAATATTTATTATTATTTTGGTTTCGTTGGATTTTTGGGGCCTCTTTTGGACTTTGCAAATTTTCCAGTCATTGAATACAAAAGAGAAAAAATAAAACAAGTGCTTCAATTCTTTTCGAAACGATTCATTTGTAATAATCCTCGCTTCCTATATAAAAATATGAGTTTTCATAAAAAGTGGACTAAGCAACTTTTCACTCTAAGCTAGCGATACGTACATATCAAGGCGTATTCATATAAGGCGGTATCGATTCAACAAATAAAAAAATTATTGTCAAATTTCAGCTATACTTCCCCGAAGGAAGAAGGGCGACAGAAAATACACACACTCACTCACTAGCGAAACAAGGATAGATTTTGACAATCCCACTCTATTTACAGCTGATGAAACAACACCACCTTATATGAATTCGCCTTGTATACAGACATACATTTGTGTGCATATATTTTTTTATATTAATATGTTTGTAGATATGTATTGCAAAGAACTAGCAAACCCTCTGGCTCTGCACTTTTTCAAGCGCCATCCAATTAAACCATCAATACTCTATTACGCCGCAGGTCACTCAATATCTAACTCTATTGCAGTACGCAAAAACATACCCCTGCATATCCATAACTGTTATTTTCAAGCGTTCAAATTTTTTTCGGGGGCTCAATGTCGGCGAACTGTCTGTCAACACGTCAATCTCCTGTCACTCAACGGCAAATTACCACTCAGCAGATGCTGATGGCATGCACAAAAAAAAAAAAACAAATAGAATAGCAGTAGTTTGGAGCTTTTCTCAAAAAAGAGCCTGCCAAATATTTTTGAATTTTTTGCTTTTTAAACAATTTACTCATATTTCGCAATTTTTTCGCCTTTCTTTTCATATTTGCATTTTGCATATACGCAATTTTGGCTGGACGATGCTGACATATCGCCAATGGCAATCGACAACCGTTCCCAATGCGTTCAACAACAATACTACCAACAAACAAAAAAAAAAAAAAACAAAACAAAAACGGTATACTAACTACATTTAATAACGCAATGGCGGCTTGAAAAAAAACCACTCCATCGATGTCTGAGCTCCATGGAAAATTGACCAACATAATAATTTGTGCCCCAACAACACGGCTATTAATATCACCATCGGCGCCATCGTCTTTTGCTGTTGCTGCATTTTCAACTCTTGCTCTTCAATGCGGCAGGTGGAAAAGGGCAGCTCATCACTGCTGCATCGTTCGGTGGATCCAAGTGCTTATCCGGCACCGCCCGGCACACCGAAGGTGGTGAACGTCACACAGCACAGCATTGGTTTGCGTTGGTCGCGCAGCCAAGAGAAGCCGGGAGCGACCAGTCCAATTATCGGGTGAGTGATGCATACAAGATTGTTGATTTTTATTTTCTTTTATTTTTATTTTTTTTTTTGTTTTGGGAATTTGAATATTGCGCTTTTGTTTTAACATTTTAAGCAAAACACTTCAATTTTTTTTTTGTGCTTTACTCAAATTTTTCTTTTGCAAACAATAGCTCGCTAAAGCGAGTCCTTTATCAACACAAGCTTTATTCATATTTGTACGAATTTTTTGTGGGTGTGTGTGCGGTGGCAGCGTTTCAGATTATTCCCCAATTTTCCGTAAATTTCTATGCAACAATTTGCTTTGTCTGTGCAGTTAGGTAAATTGCTTTGCATTTTGTTTTTTTGTTCAAGCCTCGCCATCAGCTTGCTGCTACTTGTAGCCCCAACACTTTATTCCTTTGTGCTCCTTTGTGATTACTCGCTCGTTTTTGTAGCTGATTGCTGCCTGCATACTTCACCCGCAGTGCAATAACTATTGGCAAGGTGATTGACTTCCACTTTGGTTAACAATTTTTCTCAATTTTGCCAGTGAATGTGAATTTATGCTTTGAAGTGGTTCCTAAATTACTTTATGGCTTCATTTAATATACTCCCACAAAAAGGTAAAGGATTGGGAAGCAAATTAAAAGTTAAGCAAATACATTGTGGGGTAATTGGAGATATGAACAGGGCTTCGTTATGATAAGTTGAGGCCAATATAAATGAGAATAGATTTTGGTTTTCATATCTCAGAAAAATTTTATATAGAGTGAATACACTTAGGCTTCCTCTTTCCCAACGAAATAGAGCTGTCAAATATTTGTATGGTCGATAATAGTCAGGGATCTTTCAATATCAGACATCGAAACCATGAAAAATTAAAAAAGGTCTGGTAAAGCTGAGTTATTAATTACAGCTTTTCAAAGCACTAGAGAAAGCCTCCTTAGTCTTGTTTACTAAAAGTTGCTCGATGTTGGCGTCGGGCAAGGGAATTTCCGGTAGACAGCTATCTATCCGACATTACCTACTAATATATTGACTGCAACAAAAATACTTACTCCCTCTATCAAAAAATGCTTGCCGTGGCTCCTCTGGATATTGCCCCCAAGAAAGAGGTAGGTGTGTGTTTTATAGCAAGATCCATTGATTGGGATTTTTTTTTATATGTCAAGAGGATGGACAAAATATCAGCTATGTAGACAGGTACCTTCTGAACTTAGCATTAAAATATACTTTCAATAAAGTTTTCCCCAACTACTTTAATTGAGATCTAAGCATCGGACCGGTAGTCATATTTATATAGCGACGGCTGAGATTGAACAGGGTCATGCAAATGAGGCATATAGCTTACAAATCAAAAGACTTCCCTTCACCAGAACGGGGAGAGCCAACTGTTTCTGCAGTTCTGATGTCATAGAAATGTGTCTGACACTACTTATATACCGACAGTGGGGAGACAAGCAATTACTTCTATAAATGTTCAGATAACATAGCATATAGGTGGTGTTCTGATGCAGATCTTAATATTAATCCCTCTATGAAAGCCATTGGCCATTTCACTAAGGAGATGGAGAACATAGCCTTGAATAGGGTCGAAATCAATTTCGTCACAGAAGTGAAGTATCTGGGACTTATGCTGGACTCCGAACTCCTGTGGAAGTCTCATGCTGAGGCGACCACATTAAAGGCTACGAGAGCGCCAATGGTGTGCGAACGTTTAGTGAGTAAATCCTCCGATGTACCCCAGGGATCTCACTACACTGGCACCCATATGGTCCTTAGACCCCTGAGGGTTTTGGAGCAGGAGAGTTAGTTCTTCTTTTTATTTGGCACTATAACCGCCTAAGCGGTTTTGGCCGAGTTAAACAAAGCACGCCAGTCGTTACTCTTCTGTTCCTACTGCCGCCAATTGGAAATTCCAAGTGAAACCAAGTCCTTCTCCACTTGGCCTTTAAAACGCAGTGTTGGCCTCCCTCTTCCTCTGCTACCACCAGCGGGTTCAGAGTTGAATACTTTCAGAGCTGGAGCGTCGGAGTCCATTCGAACGACAAGCCAGCGGAGCCGCTTTATTTTAATTCGCTGCACTATGTCCATGCCGTTGTAAAGCTCCTAGAGCTCATCGTTCAATCGTGTGCGATACTCGCCATCGCCCACGCGTAAAGGCCCGTTCGAATATTTCAAGAGCCGCCTCATGATGAGTGACTTATGGAGCGTGGTTTTCGCACGTCGAGATAGGACTTTACTCCTGAATTGCCTATTCAGTCCAAAGTAGCACTTGTTGGCAAGAGTGGTTCTGCGTGGGATTTCTATGCTGTCATTATAATCGATGTTAATGCTGGTTCCCAAGTAAACGAAATTCTCTACTTTCTCGAAATTATAACTGTCAACAGTGACGTGGGTGCCAAGGTGAGAATGCGCTGACTCTTTGTTTGATGATACTTCGTCTTATCCTCGTTGACCGCCAGACCCATTCGCTTTGCTTCCTTATCCAACTTGGAAAAGACAGTACTACTTCGCGTTTCTTGTGACTGATGATGTCGATCTCATCGGCTCTCATAAAAAATTGTTCGTTCAGTTCTGCAGCTCTTATTATGTTCTCCAATGTCCAATTAAAGAAATCGCATGAAAGAGAGTCACCCTGTCTGAAACCCCGATTGGTAGGAAACGACTCGGGGAGGTCTTTCCCAAAAAAGTTAGTTGCTCACAAGAAAAAAGGAAGAATTCAAACTACTTATGGTTGGTAAAAAAGTGCTCTTTAAATTGTTTTCAAAGTAATTGAAGTTCCGACAGGGAAGTTATAGTCAGGTGGCACTTATGGGTCTCCCATCCTTCAAGATGAAATCCTCATTGATCCTGGAGGGTATTAAGAAGCTTAATGTCAAAGCTGATCATTTAGTCAGAATGGCTGCTGCCTCGACCCCAATAGATAATGAGCCCTTCCCTGCTTAGCACGATAAACGAAGTACACAGAAAGGAAAATACCAAACTGGGGGAACTGCACTGGCGAAACACCACGGGACTTCGCCAAGCCCAGATTTTGCTTAAGATATATAAGTTACTCATTAATCTACTCGAGGTGAGGATAAGAATTATTAAAGTGTTTTTTACGGGTCCTTTCAGGCTAAGCTACATAGTGTTCCGGTAAAGCGATCTATGTCACTTTTGTGAGACCGCTAAAGATACATAATTGCACCTTCTCCTGGAGCGCAGTGATGCGGAACTTCTTTGGGTATTACCAGGCATCGCATAGGTGAATCGAGCTCACTCATTTGGCTTCACCATGTCAGCGAATACATGAGCAATTAAGAGACAGATACATTTGACTAGAAAGGGAAAGCTCAGGTATTTATTTAGAGGTCCAGTACCTTTCCTTGGACTAAAATGAAGCTTTCGTAAAACGAAGCTTCTGTAGATGAATAAAAAAGAGGCCCAACATTACTGGATGAACTCAACAGGCAATAGACCTTCCAGTACATTCAATCCAGAAATATCAGCTAAAACACTCTTTAACTTCAGCAGGGATACCATTAAAAGACACAGGTTTTCTTAGAGGTATTTTACGAGTAGGGAAATATTTTTTAAGCATGGGTATAGCATACACATTTTGGTAAAAACAGGTTATCTAACCAAGAACAGGATCACACAATGTGACTCCCCAAGATCTGCTTACCTGAAAGCCCGTGACCTGCCTGGCACTTCGTCAAAGAAGCTGATCAGGCTCCTCCTCCAAAAATTGTTTTATTGAAAAACTGCGATCCACCTTTGTTCAAAGCTACACCCCCACACCCAGTGCAGCTGTGCACTGAAATACAAAAGAAAAGTTGCAAGTGATATTTTTTTAGCGTTTAAACGGGTGATATGCTAAATCGCCATGCAATCACCTTCACCGCCATAAGCTAAATTTTTTTGTTTAACAATAGCCACTTGGCAGAGCAAAATATTAAACTATGAACAACAGTTTTAACTGGCGGAGCGAAGTTTAACAAAAGAAAAAACATTGTAACCAAAACTAAAGTCACTGAAAAAAAATCAATTTTTGCCACCAGGAATCAACTGTGGAGTGATTAGATTTCGATGAATTTTACATGGCCGCGCATAAAGGAAGGACTAAGCCGCTGCATCCTTTGCTTTCTAACTCAAAGTAAGTTAGCTGAATCTGCTGCACCTTCAGAGATAGGAACACTCAAATGCCACAACTGCGGCTATGAATGGTGCCACACGAGTGTTGCATGCATGCGCTAGGGCATTGTTTGTGGCGCAAAGGCTTTGCTAGCGAACTTTGTTTGGCAGCTACTCTGCCTCAAAGTGCTGGCCAACATTTTTTTTATTTTTTTTTTGTTAGCTTCTTTTTTGTGGCAAATATTTTTTCGGTTCGTTAATTTCTATGCATCGCATAATTGCAACACAATCGCTTTGCGGCAAGCATGAAAAAATCTAGCAATGGCAAAAAAAAAGTAATAATACGGTATTTTGTGGCAACAGCAGCTTTGGGCCATTTAGCGGCTGTTGCTGTGGCTGCACTCTGATTAGTGGCGGTGCGCTTCGACACGGCAGCGGCAGCGCGATGGCTAAACGCTTGCCAGCCTTTTTTGTTTGCAGCTAGCGCTGCATGTGTGCTTGTAGTACGAATTCGTGTGCGGGTGCGCGTTTTATACAGCTGACCGCAAGCGGCTTATTGTTAGCAGCGAATCGCTGTTTCGGTGTTGCATGTAGCATGACGGCAACGCGAATGCAATTTTTCCGCCGTTTCGCGGTTAATGTTGCTGACCGCGAGCGCCATCGGGGCCGCATGTGCGAAGCGCTTTTGTTTGGCGGTCAAGCGCACATTTTGTCGGACATGCTATGAATGCATTACCAAGCTCGCTAAGCAATCTGCACCAGATAGACTTAAATTCCAGCGCTATTCCACTTTACGCTCACATACATATATTTATATATACTCTTTTCATTGGGGCATTTTTTGCTATGCCACGGCGATGGCGATTTAGATTTGCGCAAATTAACATAATCAAAAGTATAAAATGGCACACGCGCAAGCGCATTGCAATTGTTTGTAGCAAGAAATTTTCAAGCTTTGTTCTCCATTTCGAATGGCTGCATGTTGCATGTTGCAGTGCCATTCGTTTGTTCATTCTTTCGTTTGCCTTTTCGCGTTTTAAACTTTTCGACTTTTTCGGGCATCATTAAAATTTACTAGCTGCATGCAACTAGCAAACTTTCTATACACACTCACACATACTTACATAGTAGCTGCACGTGGAATAGTTTTTGTTGACGCCTCTTTTGCTTGCTTTGTTGTCTGGCAGCATTTTCTCTTATCAACATTCCTATTGCAAGCAGTTATTGTTGGTCATTTGTTTTTGTTGCCGGAATTACATTGCATTTGATGAACACGCCCTGTCCTGAAGCTGTAACAGCAATGCACATTCCATATTTTGCATTTTAAAATGTTACTTCTTTTATTTTGTATGATTTTTTATGCAGAATTGCCGCTAGCTGGTGATCGCAATGCGTTTTACAACTTTATATCCGCCTCTCATCGTAATTATTACTTGAATTTTTTTTTAAGTAATTTAAAAAATATATTTGCATTTAAATTTCTACCCTAACATGCACTTCGCTTATGAAATTCAGCCACCATGAAGTGCATTTTTGTGCGGGTGTAAACACGAGTTTAAGGCCCGTTATGATACCACAACTTAGAGTTTTAACTACCCCTTGCTGAACCATTTTGAATCCATGACGAAACTCGTCTGCGAATTTGTCAAGGTCACTGCAGAAAGAAGACCCCAGAAAGCGCAATCTGCTCCTCGATAGTGCCGGAGGATAGGTGGAGAACTGTCTCCCCCTCTTCATAGATAATACAGAAGTCCTGTTGCCGAAATGAGCGGCTGAGAGCGGGACTGAAAGAGAAGAGCCCTCTCCCACTCCACTATTCAGTTTTGAACCGTCTATGAAATTGCTATACTACCGGGTGGAGTAAAGTAGTTTTATATCCACATACATTCTAAAATCACCTTTTAGTCAGTTTCCTGAGCTGCCTATACCCGACGAAGTTTAAGCTCATTAAATATCATTCTAATTTTGAGTTTTAAAGTTTCATTTTTTCTCAGCATCAGACCGTACCAGAGAGAAAGTTCGCCGTACTCCCCTGAGTCTAAAGTATTTTTATAAGGAAATTTCGAAAAAAAACTGGCTTAACGTAGGGGTGCCTTTTTACATATCTACAGCATTAATAGTCTGATCTTGGATACTCCCAGCTTGGCTTTGTTAATTGACCATTTTTTTGTTCCAAAGCTCATTGACTTACAGGTGCCTTGTTTTAGTACTTACTCATCAGATCTGAGTTCTCATCACCCTAACCTATTCCTCTAATGTCATTAAATCAAAACTCATCAAAAATCTTCAAACTATAGCTGAGGAAGTATTTTGATTATTCTAGTAGAACTATTTTAAGCAAAAAGACATACGTAGGCACGGCAAAAAAATATTAACCGACATAGCCTTTAGACTCAAGGGTTTGCGGCGAACCGTTGTTTGCTTGGTATGTAGTTAGATACGATCAGCACCGATGTTTCCACAAAACCACTTGGGAGTTCAACAAAAAAAGAACGAAAACAGTTGCGAACAAATCTCTGCGCATGGTTCTAACTAAACTAGGTTTAGCCAATCAAATGTCAGCCAGCGGTTAAATATTAACGCAGCCCAACATACATTTAGTTTAGAGAACGTTTAGAAAACGATTCGAATTCGAATGTGTTTCTCTAAGATAGAAGGTTAGCAGACGATTAAAGAAACTGTCGATAATTGTAGCAAAGAGGGGACTAAGCTCCCAATTTCAAGAAAGAGGTTAGATATACAATCGTATTTCACCGTTGAATTCTAATTGGTTTCGTATGTCTAGTGTTTTTTCGAATCATTCTATAACCCGATTCTGACACAGTTCTCTAGCATGATTTTCAATTCGAGAACTACATTAGAATTCTTTGTAAAATCGAAAAATTTCTCTTAGGTTAAAGACTGTGTTTGTAGGCAGTTCACGCCATTTACGTTTAAAGAGGCACTGAAAAACTGGTCCAAATCCTTACTTAATCTTTACAAAGCAATCATAATTTGAAAGTGTGCAAATTTTCCTTACAGAATAAAGTAATTTGCAATAATTACGTTCCAACACATAAGCATTATTGCTTAATTATGAAACTTTTATTGATTACACTGGTCTACAAGGGTTTTGCGAATAAGACGGGACCTGGTGTTTCCGAACGGATTTTTCGTGCTGAACACGAATCTGGGGTCCAAAACTTCCCATCACGTCACGTTTTCGAGAAAAAAGGGGTTGAAACCCCTAAAAACAGCGTTTTTGGACATTTTCGAAAAATTGTAGAGCTGAACCCTGACGTGCTACAAACTTTGTATATGTCAGAAATTAAAGGCTAAATCGTGCCCTTTCGAATGAGCCCTATGCCGAATTAATCGCATGCACCCTTAGATCAGGGGGTGTATTTGTGTCTAGGAGTCCAGGGAAAATTGATCGCAGAAAGAATTTCATCTTAAACGACCATATAAATTTCTTAAATTTTTAAAATCTAACTGCAGATTCGTAATCAGCGACTTTTAATATAGTTAAAACCTTGGCATTATTAATTTTCTATGATCGTTTAAGATTAAATTCTTTCTGTGATCAATTTTTCCTGCACCCCTAAACACAAATACACCCCCTGCTTTAAGGGTGCACGCGATCAATTCGGCATAGGGCTCATTCGAAAGGGCACGGTTTAGCCTTTAATTTCTGATATATGCAAAATTTGTACCACGTCAGGGTTCAGCTCTATAATTTTTCGAAAATGGCCAAAAACGCTGTTTTTAGGGGTTTCAACCCCTTTTTTCTCGAAAACGTGACGTGATGGGACATTTTTGACCCCGGATTCGTGTTCAGCACGAAAAATCCGTTCAGAAACACCAGGTCCCGTCTTATTCGCAGAAAAAAAGTTGAAATTTGTAGACCAGTGTTATAAATATATATTTCAAAAAATCAACGTCAGTTGTTGAATTTTCCTCAATTTTGTATAAAGTTCGAAACTTTGATTTACATTTATGGTTTTGGTTAAAGCTTGGAGAATATTTTGAATGAGAAATAAAAAAAAAAATATTGAACGTGAAAAACATTGTAAACATTAAAAAATGTGCACGTGGTCACTTGCTTTAGTCGCTGTATATGTATATTGTAAAACATAAATACAAATTTGCATATATTTTTGTTGAATTTTGCTGTCGCTAATTAGCTTATCTCGCAGCTTATTGCAATTCTCATGCTTTCACAAAAATATTAGTTTTACACTTTTTAATTTTTTAAACATATCGTTACCGAAAGGTGAAAAGGTGCCAAGTCAATTTTTTGAAAATGTTCAGGAGAGATGAAAAATCGATGTATTTAGTTTCACATTATCTGTCATTCTGCATCGAAAACTAAATTTTTGAAAAAAAGTGGACTTGACTACTTTTCATCTTTAGGTAACGATATATTTTTACGTACTTATTCGAAATTTGTTTTTTTTTTTTTTTAATATTATGCAAATGTACTTACTATCTTTCTTTTATTTTGTAGCTACACTGTGGAGTATTTCAGTTCGGATCTGCAAACAGGTTGGGTGATTGCTGCGCATCGTGTGCCCGATCAGCAAATAACGGTAAGTGTGCAATTTATATACATATAT